ATCATTCAAAAAACTTCACTCACCAAACTCTAAGCACTAAAACACAAGAAAAACCACAGCCAAGGCATGTCAATAAAATAGTCAAGGAGTGCATTTCAGCCTAGAAATAATGCACACACTACAGGAACACTGAATTAATACAGAAAATCAGTATGACTTCAGACAACAAGCAGCACTGAAGAAATGAGCAAGACAGTGTATCTTACGGAGTCTCCTGTTCATTGAAAGACTAACAGACAGACCCTTCTCGGTAGCCCTGGCGGAAGCTGAAGACACAAGACTCAAAACCTGCGCAATCATTACATCCAGTTTGCAAAGTAACAGATAATAAATATGACAGATCTTTCCCAAGCTCATCACTTGTAACAAACACCGGTCTACTATAAACGGTTTTTCTTATAACTGCATATGTAAAGTGGAGTCACCAGAGGTTTGGTTAACAGCAGCATTGACTGATTACATGCTCTGCAAATCTGACAAAACATTCTGGCAGAGTAACAACAACCACCACCACCCCCCATATTTTGATCTGGTCCCCCAAAAGCAAGTTATCATAAAAGCTTATTCTTAAAGATTCTACGTGCTTGCATATGGCACAAGGAAGTTAAGCAAAAAATTCCAACTAATACTATCAGATGCTGTGTCAGGTCCACAGAAGCTCCATTTGTTCATCTGACCAAAAGGATTTGTTCTTAAAATATTCCTTAAAGTTCTGAGCGGGCAGTTATTATTTGTCAACATTTAAAAAAACAATGAAAGTATTAAAATTATTAAAAAAATATTTTTGTAAGTAGAACTTTACAGATTAACTGTTGCAGTTACCTTAGCCTGTAAATGGATACTTCAGTGTATCTACATTTGGGAAGTTTCCACTGACACAGCTGTTTCCATTCATGGGAAACACAAACACATATTTGCTCTAAATGCACAGAGCCATTTTAAATACCATAAATCTACAGAAGGTAAATAACCCTGCAGATCAATTTTGGCATAGAGAGTGTAAAGACCTGAATCACAGGTGTTACGGAAATACTGGTTAAATAGTTCAAAATGAAGAATTTGAAAAATATATTTTAAGAGCTGTTTTCTCTCCTTCTTCCTATGCCCACATCAGCAAAGCATGCTAAAGTATTTTGCAGAACTGGTTTTGAAAGCACAATATAAGAATGTTCAAATTTCAGCAGAAAAACTGAAATCCTAACTTTTGAGAACATCTTCTGCATGATAAAGAGTTTATTTAGCATTTTCTTTTCAGTATGTGGGCCAGACGGTTCCTACTAGAGAATTTACAAAAGATTGTTAAACTAGTTACTCGCCCTCCCTCTCAGTGCAGAACAGACATTCAGAAGCTATAAGCAGGCTCCAAAAGAGGATTAGTGTAAAAAAGGTGATGATAAAAATGTTCCTGTTGGGTTTGTTGTTCTTGTAAAGACTTATGTAGTTTGCTTTCCACTTCTCAGACTTCAGCATTGGTGTTTTCCAACCTTTTTCTGCTTCAAAAACTAGAATTGAATGGGAGCAACTTCTAGAGAATGATGTTCTCAGAACAAATCTAAATTCCCTGAGATTTGAACCATCCACTGGGAGAGTTGGCAGTGCCTCGAGATACCCAGTGGAGAGCAGCCTAAAGCCTTGGGCTGCCTAGGCTGCCCCCTACCAAGTGCACTGTTACTGCTGGAGAAGTAGAGCTTCTCCTTAAGGCGGCTTCTGAAAGAAATTTCACAATATAGGAAGTGGCAGAGAAGCTGGCACAGCTCTATAACCTCCCCTGGATTTGTAGTTTGTCTTTAGAATGGGAAAAAACCCTACAAGTAGCAAAGTCAGCAACTCAACCCTTCTTTCTGCAGTTCCACATAAAAATACCTGCCAGATGCTGATATTGGTATCTAAGGGTGGCTCCCAACAAGTCTGTCGCAATGTCACAGGGAGAGGCAGCAATACTCTTTGCCTCCCTTTGCGATCTGCCATATTTCCATCTGTTCTGTACACCTAAAAATGTACAGAAATGAAAGTCTATGAATGATTCGGTGTAGAGGACAGGGAAGGAGGAAGAGAAATTGTGTACTTTCGTTGAGGAAGTCAGCTTATAACAACGAGCTGGTTTCGTTGTTTTGCCATGCAAGTGCAAACAGTGCAGCAGGATAAGCAATCCAGCAGCTGGGACTAAGGGACAATAGAATTTTCAGAGGTATATGGTAACAACATTTCACGTGAATATCACATAAAAACTTCCTAAAACTACTGGGAATGTACTACTAGTGAGAATGTTTCTTCTTTATCCACCATTTAGGATTTCATATGTAAACTTTCAATTTATAAAGCAATTTATTCACCTGAGGGCTCGCTTACAAAATCAGGTCTTTTGCCTCTTGGAGGCACAAAGCCCTCTGCCCACATTAGTGGATTCCACTAACCTTAATTCAATTATACCAAAACAGAATTCAGATATTTATCTTAAAAATCTTTTATAAGTGCCAAATAACTGAAGTTACATTATTGATCGCTGATAATTAGAAACCTGCGTGTATCACACAGAAGAAACAAGTCCAACTTTCAGTACACTGTATTACAAGACAATACAGGTTGGCAAGTATTTACTAGATCTCAATGGCTGAGGTTTTTTATGGCTTTTTTTTAAAAAAACCCCACAACACTGCTGACTGAGAAACATGCAACATGATTGCTTCATCCAGTTAAAGTTGTTGCTACAGGCATTTTTATTTTCATAAATTGCCATTTTTTGCCCCTCCAGAATTGGAGGTAAAAGAGTGATACCCATTTGCACAGCACGAAAAGAATGCTGTGTACTCTGTTGCAATACACAGTGTGAAGACTATAGTTCAAAAACAAGATCCTGGTTAACAAATCTGGTCAAGAGTGGCAATCACCTCAACCTACCTAGTCTAACTTTAATCTTATGCTCCTTTCATAGCCAATGAACATAGTCAACTAAAGTGAGCTGCCCAATTGAAATGCATGAAGTATATATCAGATGCATTCTATTTACATTTAGATTTATATAGGTATATATACATAGAACAAATGAAACAGGCATTTTTGAAACATGTAAAATAAGTTACTTTCCATGTGGCTAAGAGTTCCTGTTCACTACAGAAGGATGCACGCAGCTACGTTAAACTAGATCCTCCACCGAGACAGCTGAAGTGAGAGAAGACTCATCCAAAATGAGCTAGGCCTCAGCCCTAACAAAGCAGTCTAAAAATAGGATTTTGTAATATCACTAACAAAACACCATAAAAACAGTTTACAAACTGTTGTACAAACCTGGTCCAATTTCCCTTGTGAAGAAAACTGTAACTTTCCTAGAGAATTTCCCAAGACTTCTGCACAACACTTTTCCACGGTTATTTATTTGCATGGGAAAGCTCTACAATTACACAAGTTCTGTTGCATTTTATAAGCACACCAACTTCTCCAGGGTTCTACCAAATTCACCCTAACTAGAGCCTCTTGGTCTTCCCAAGGGCTTCCCATAAGACAGAATTTCATAAGCTGTTTTCCCTCAGTGGCCATTTCCATTCGAGTGCTCCCCTTCAATGCTAATGTAGCGACACAAATTCTAGTTCTGCAAATTTCTTTCCAAGCACCTTTCCAATGTCACAGGGTAAGACACCACATAATATAGGAGACATTACCACAGACATTTTTTTTTTCTTTTCCTGTATAAAAAGTTAGAGAGTTTTAAAGAACTTTTGAAGAACAACAAACCACCATTCTTCCTGCTCTTTGACAGTCTGACACACCTGAATGCATCTTGTGATGGAATAGAAACACTATGCTGGTCTGGGTATCAATTAACCATGAACAGAAGGTGGGAAAAACATCCACGTGCCCTATGACAGAACCACAGCAATGCCTTTAACCACACTTTAGTTCCATCACTGTCATGCCAATTAGCAAGATATGTTGAAACTACTATTTAACTGGTATTTTCTTCAATATGCACAAAGAAAAAAAGGTAGAGCATATCTGGGTACAATATGTGGCTATAAGATGAAGTTTAAATAATAGTTTGCTTTGGTTTTAAAATTCAGGATTTATGGCAATACGCGTTTTTGCAAGCTACTGTTAGTAACTGGTCAGAGCACAGCAATTCATTGCAAAGAATAGAAATAGGAGTTCTTCTGCTGTTTCTCAACTGTGCCAGGCAAAATAATTTCACTTCATAGCATTTTCTGTTTCAGCCCCTGTCAGGGTTTATGTGAATCTTCTCTATGTACTGTGAACCAACAATAACCTTGTTTAGCTGAGCTCTATGAGTTACTGGGGAAAGCCGATCAGCGCACGTAATTTAAAATAATCAAACCCAAAACAGCCACCTAGCCCATTTCAGCAGGTTAGGCTGTCATCGAGAGCATGACTAAGATACACAGATTTGCTTCTTCACAAATTCTCTTATTCCCACCATAAACCACCTGACTCTTCCCACTTAACAGCAGAAAAATATCTAAAGAATTTAATAAATATTTCTCTTCCAGCGTTCATTGTTTTTTTTTCCAACATGTAACTGCTATCATAAAAATGAAAACAACCTCTTATCTTTACAATGTTTTGGTCATTGCTTTACTTGAAAAGGAAAACACTTAGTGGAAAAATACCAAATATCAGAATAATTTAAGAAGCAAATAAACTCTTCCCCCCAGCCTTTGACATCTTACCATTTCTACCTACATATTGGTTAGCATTCTTCCAGAAATAAGAATTTGGATGCTGCTTCTGGAAATTAACACTACTAAACTATTCTCTTTTCACTACTGTCCTTTTAGCTGGTATTGTTACCATCTGCGATTAACATGGTACAATGAACTGCAACTGCTCATTGAATCACAGGCAGATACATCAAAATGTGTTCACTTCAACCTGAGCTCATACAGATTTAAGAGGATATTGGCACAGCACCTCCTCTAATACTTCTGTTGCAGAGGCTGTTGGAAGATTCCATTCATGAAAGAGTAAGATAAAACATTGAAAGTCCCTACCTTCACCTGACGATCCTGAAAGGTCTATGATGACATACACTCTCCCTTCTGGTTCCAAGTCAATCTGCAATCAAGAAGAGAGTTAGAAGAAAACTTAGAATTGCTCCCAAAGCAAGTGACTGCACATGCAGGAAACAAAAAGTTTCCAAAACTCGTGAAGCCAAGGTGTAGGCAGGACAAATGGGCAGGTCTACAGTTTACTACCAACAGAGCCTCCTTTTGCAAAGAAGTGTTGAAGACCCTACACCTTGATTGAAATAAAAAACTGCATGCCCATAGCACTTGGAAAGCTTGAACCCAGGGAATTTTACAAATCAAATATTTAAAGCACTGTTCTGCCACACATTTGCACCACTATTTCCAAGGAGACAAGGAAGAAAGTTAAAGATGGTAGTATCAAATTACTTTTTTACTGTAATTTATACTGATCCCAGCTATGCAAATGTAAAAAACCAACACTGTGGCCTATTCAGATCCCAGCGAGACAGATGAGCTCTGGTCGCAGAACAGGGGAAATGAACACACACAGCTCATACGGCCGGTTAACACGTGTTTATAATACTCCCTTTGTATCCCCACTAGGAGAAAGAAATACATGATCTATCCTCTTTTTCTGAAATACAAAATTTGTTTACTTCTGCACCATTCTGGTAGATTTTAAGGAGCCTTTGCTCTTGTGGAGATCACTTTCACTCAGCATGAAATACAGGTGTTCAGTATCAAGCTGCTGTACTTCAAGATTTCACGGGCTGTGGGAATAAGCTCCTGTACATTTAGGCATCACAATGAAGAGCTTATTATAAATCCTCCTGTATTTTACCACACATTTCATCAGTAATAGTAAATACTGCTGGATTTGAGTAACTTAATGGTGCCCCACACATTACAGAAAATTTTTGCAGTCACCCATCTCTCAAAAATTAAACTGTAACTAAAACACTGTGTAATCAATAGCTCTTACTGTCACATAGCCGTTGTCACACAATTTCAGAGACTGAGTGAAGCGACGTGGTGTACATTAATACTACATTCTCATTCTATTTTAGTAAGTAAAGCTCACAGCTTTATTTACAAGGGCCTTGTCTGCCAAGGCCCTGTCCTGTCTCCCAGCACTGCAGCCAGGAGCAGGCAGTCAGGGAGGCCCCAGGGCAGCCCCAGTCCTGGGCATTAGGGACCTCCCTGGGGATGGGGACAGGCCAAGGGGAGGGCGAGGACCAGGCCAGGATGTGGGCCCGCAGACAGGCCTGGCTCAGCAGGGCCCAGCGCTGGGCAGGGCAAGGCCATGGGGAGATGGAGAGCGGCCCTGCTGCAGCACCGCTGGGGCAGGGGCTGACGGCCCGGGGGGGGCTGACGGCCCTGG